TACAAATATCAAAATAATAAAATAATACTAAGATAAAATAATAAACTAATAAAATAAAACTGTTCTATAACAGTATAAAGATATTCATTATTTTTTTACCTGAAGCTTTGTCTGTATTTCTTTCTTAGCATACCTATTATCTCTGTTCTATCTTCTATAACTTCTAACCTTTTTTATTTTTGATAATCTGATGCTAATTTCTAATTTCTTTGCTTCTTTAATTATTTTGTAATATAAATTGATTTTAATATCTATTTATTCTATTTTTTACAAATTAAGATTTAGAATACATTTGCTACTTTTGAGATTTAGTTATACTTGCTTTACTTTTAGCTATATCTTTGCTTATATCTTGCTTGTTGTTTAACCTTGCTATTAGTTCAGTAATATAATATGCTAACTAATTCTGCTAAATTGTCTTTATACTAACTATGTTTCAGTATGCTATGACTACATTTGGCATTATATATATTATCTTCATCTTGTTCTTTATTAATATAAAAATTAGGCTTTGTAATCTATTATATACTTTTTTTGAAAGAATATAAAGTTGGCTTCTATATTATATTTTTGATATCACACTTTATTATTGATATACTATATATGTGTTAAGGATATCTTTTTCTTCTTAAGTTCTCTTACTTTTGATTACACTTCTTTTTTAATAATCTTATATATATACTTTTGTTTTGTTTTCTCTAATATCCAGATTTCAAAATATCTTGTTAATTCTTCTGGTTTCTTTCTGATTACCAATTCTTCTTTTGATTTAAACCTTATTTCTTTGTTTGCAGTTTTTTTGTTTGCTAAAAACAGTATCACTAGTTTTGACTTCTTTATGTTTATTTTATATCATTAATTTTGAAAAACTTATTTGCTATGATCATAATTTTATTTAACTTTTTCTTGCTTTTTGCAATATATACTGTATTATCTATATATACAAGTACTGACATTCTCAACTTTTGTTTTTCTACTATATTTTTTTTTGTATCTTTAGACCATATTACTTCTATTCTATACTTTGTTTCTTTTCTTTCTTGTATATGCATCAGTAATGAGTTGTAGAATATTCTTCAGACTAAAAAAAAATTACTTCTTTCTGATATATACTGTTTTTAGCTTTAAACTTTCTATATTTCTATATCTAATAATTATTTTTATTTTTCATTCTCATATAGACTTATAATAAAGTCACAAGTTCTTTAGAGATTTTAATTCTTTTTAATACTAGTTTTAACATTTCAATATTAATTGAATTAAAAGCTTTTCTTTATATCTTAAAATAGGATTCAGAGCTCTTTCTTATTTTCTCTTATATTTTTTACTATACTGTTTAGTATATTTATAAATCCTGCTGTTTTTTCTTCTAATAAGCTAGCATAGTTTCTTTTTTTTAAATTTTTGTCATTTTTAATATTCTTCTTAGCCTATTATTAATTATTTGCACTACTGTTTTTTAAATATTTTTAGAAGCAAGATAAGTTGAATATTGTTAAAATTATAGTTCTAGTCTTTTTTTTTTGAAATTAGATATAACATTCCAATTTTCTATTTTTTTGATATTGTTTTTAATTCAAAGTACTTATTTGCAAGTTTTTGAATATTCTTTTTTTGTAAATATATTTGTATTTTTGATAAGTAGATAAGTAATTCTTTTTGAGCCTGATGCAGAGAAATTCTTTATTTGTTTTATTGCTTCTGCTCAATTTTTACTAAATACTTTATTGTTTAGGTCTTTATACTAATTTTTAGATGCTTCTAATTAGTTTATACCTTTTTTCTACTCTTTTAATAGTTTCTTTGCTTTAGTATTTCTTTTCTAAATTGCTTCTAGAAATAGTTTTTTACTTCTTTCAATATTATAATATTTGTTAAAATACTTATTAAATAATTATTAAGTAGTTTATAAATACTTAACTTATACTTATTTAGTATAAGGTAGGTTGTGATACAATTAAAAGTACTTATTTAAAGTACTTATAAAATATTATAAAAATTAAGTACTTAATAAATATAAATGCAGATAAATTTTTATTAATTGATAATTCACTAGTCAGCCAGAAAGAATTTGCAAATTTTTATAAATACTGTAAAAGTGTATATACAAGACCTGGGTCTGATATATTTTACCAATTTTAAAGCCTTTAATAGATCTAGAGGTCTATTGTATAAACTTTAGTCTAATAATCAGAAGAGATTTTTATATACTAAAATCAAAAACATAAAATTTATATAATATATATGATGTTTTAATATTATCCTGGATCTTTTAATTATTGTTCTTATAATTTATCTAAGTCTATTTTATATTATTATAATTTTTATTTAGATTATAGCTTCGGGTTTGATTCACAGTAAGTCTACTATTTTTAGTGAGTCTTGTATCTAAACTTTTTTTTTACTAAATAAATTACTTTTGTATTTCTAATAAAAGTTGTAAAGTTCATCAAGATGTATCTAATGGTAGTAAAAATATTAAGATTAGCTTGATAGTTCTTAAAAAAATCTTTAAAAAACAGTTTATTAATATATAAAAGTTTTTTAAAAAAATTAATTTTTTTAAATGTTTTTGAAGATTTCTTAAGAACTACTAAGCTAATTTTAACATTCTTATCACTATTAAATATATCTTGATAAGCTTTACAACTTTCATTAGAAGCATAAGAGTAATTTACTTAGTAATGTTAATATTAGAAAAAAAGCTATTTTGAAGAATATCTCTGTAATCACTAGTTCAATTAAGTTGAAACAACTACCATTCAAATCAGCTTATTAAGATGAACCTAAAGGTAATAAGATCATCTAAATCTAATAACAGAAAGCTGAGATATTATTAAAGATGTGATTTATTTAAGTAATTTATATATAGATTACATGTGATACAATCTGATTGGCTGATGATCTACTGTACAAAATGCTTTACATATAGCATATCTATTATCTGTCATATTTATATTATTTATTTTATATATTATATATATATTATTTGTGTTATATATAATATCTGTATTATATATATTATATATCTTATTAGTAGGGATAGGAATGGCTTATAATAAACCAGCTTAATCACAGCTTTTAAGTTGAGCTGAGCTAAGCTAATAAAGTCAGCTCAAGCTGATCTTATTTTTAAATAAATATATTTATATTACTTGTATTATTACAATAGTTTATAAGAATTTTTTATAGTAAATTACTATAGAAATAATATTTATTTTAATACAAAACTAATATAACTATATTAAAATAATTTGTATTATTATAATTACTCTTAAGTGCTTTAATTAATAAATCAAAAAAGTTATATAAAATATTACATAAATAAAAAAATAATTAATCTTTTTTATATATCCCAATATTATTTTCTATTCAACTTTTTAAACAGAGTGATGCATGAGCAATATCAGGATTAAATTGATTGCAAAGTTTTGAAAGTGTTATTGAGGCAGTAGAAAACACTTCTTTACAAGGAACAATAGATCCTTGAATTGCAAAATAATCTTGTGCTATTCTAGAAAGTGTTAGAAATCTGTTTATTATCATCCCACCATTGTAAAGAATTATTATTAATAGTTGGTATAGATAAATATTTTTCTAACTCCTCTGTTAATAGTAATGTTTTAATTGTTTGCTGCATTATTAATGATATAAATTTTTTTCATTTATCATCAAATATTAAGCTAGAAGAATTAGAAGTATCACCTGCTGGTATTAATTTATATTGATCAATTATATTTCGCAGACTAGCAAAAATAAAATTTTTTTTATCATTAAGCTGAAATGTTAATAGTTTTAATGTTAGGTCAAGAATTGAAGCTATTTTTGTTGATTCATTAGCATCAAGAATAGACCAATATTTATTTAATTTTTTTTTAATTAATTCTGCTATTAAACATTTAGCTTCTAAATGTGAATTATAAGCTTTAAATTGATCAATATGAATAAATAACCTCATAAAAGTTAAACAAACATCAGAAATACTTGGATATAAACTTTTAGAAAGAATTTCTGTTGCATCATGCATTGGTTCTAGCAAATAAATCATATTATTGATAATTTTTCACTCTTATTCATTAGGATAAGTATTTTTAAGTTTCTGATATGCAGTCGTAAGAAGGTTAAGTTCATCATGCATCTTTTTAAATTGACAAAACATATGATAAGTACTATTTTAACGTGTAACTATATCAGCAATTAATTTGCTATATAGTTTTTAAATTATTTTACAAAAGTTTTGAAGTTTGTCACTTAAGACTATTGATTTTTGAACCTTATTTACAAACTGCTGAACCTTGCCAATTACTTTATGTTAAAATTCTATACCACTTTTTATAGCAATATTAAGTATATAAGCTGCATAACAATAATGACTAAATCTGAACTCATGCCATTCTTGTTCTATTAGATTTCCACATAAAACTATTACAAATGCATTATCCATTGTTAGTGAGATTATCTTGCTATTAATACCCATCTCTTCACAAATATTATCAAGCTTTTCTTTTATATATATTGCAGTATGATGATATTCAAAGGGAATAAGATCAAGTAAAAAATGACATATTTTCTATTTGTTATCAATATAATGTATAGTAATATCCAGATAAGCTTGGTTTGATATTGATGTCCAAATGTCAGTAGTAAGTGCAACTTTGATATTAAAAGCTTTAAGTTCTTGTGCAACAAGTCTACGATATGATTCAAATTGAGATAATGTCATTTTTTTTATATATTTACTTGAAGGTAACTGATATCTTGAATCATATATATTTATTGCATTATGAAATCAAGGGTTTTTAACAAATGAAAATGGAAGTTATACACCAATTATAAGATCAAATATAGCTTTAAACCATTGTTTTTTCCATTGAGTATCATTTCTACTATAGAGTTTTTGAAGTAAAGTTAGTCGATTGGTTTTTAAAATAAGTATAATATCATGCTTATTTTTAAGATGAGTATTAAGAACACTAGTGGCTGTTGTTAGACTATATTTTTGTCTGCATTTATTACATATTCTTGCAACAATTTTGCTTTCAACATTTTCTTCATCAAAGTAATCCCATATAGGTGATTTTCTAATAAGTCTATTATTATTTGTAACAATATTAGTAGTCTCATTTTCTACACCTTCTATATTTTCTATATTATCTGTATTATCTATATCATTATTATCTATACTAACTACCTTATTTATATCTTCCATTTCTTCATCTATATTATTTATATCTTTTGAATCTTTTATATCTTCTATATTATTGAAAATATCAAGTTTTATTTTCTTCATAAGCACTATAATCAAATTCATCGGCATTGAACATTCTTAAAATTATTTTTTAATTATTATTATATAGTTTTTAGTAAGGTTCTATATTTAGTAAAAGGTATATTAATTGATAGCAAACCTTGTAAAAAAGTAGAAAATAACAATTAAGTTAGTGAAATGAAAGATAAAACAACTACTCTAGGATTTCTAACAAACTTTTTTGATCATATAATAATTTAAAAAAGATTAGACAATAAAAAATCTTGATTTGGTATATTGTTATATAATCAAAAAATTTCAAAACAAATATCACAATCTTTTATATATTAACAAAAAATTCTTTAAGTAATTTTACTATTATATTTTGCTTTGTAGAATATTCCTGATTGACTGTATTCTTGATTTATACTGAATATGTTATTAGGTTTATAACCTGTATTTTTAGTACAAGACCCAGTATAATAAACAGAGATTTTTATGCATGTAATATATAAAAACATATTGTTTTTATAATATAATTCTTGAGGGTGTGGTGACTTAGTGAAGTGGTCAAGTTGTCACCCCCAAGCGGCAGGTCTAGAGTTCAATTCCTACTAAAAGATGATTGTTGAATTATCGAAAATCTGCAGATCCTGTGGGACAGAGATGTCAACTTAATTGGACATGCTGGGCGTAGGACGTATGCTGTAATCTTCAATCATACCAATGACGATTGGAAGTATCTGACTCTGGTTGGATACGCATAAATGAGCTGAGGGGCACCAATTAGGAAGAACCGCTTGCAAATCCCAAGTATGGCGCATATCTGATTGATGGCAAGATGGACGGATATAATAAGACCATATAAGGGTCTATACCCATATATATAGAGTAGGACTATATAATGACACTCATTACTAAATACAAAATATGAACAATAAGTTACAAACAATCAC